CAAGGGGCTGAGAGCAGAGGTGTCCAGCCCCCCTGCATGGGCAGGGACACCTCCCAGCAGCCCAGGCTGCTCCAAGCCCCATCCAACCTGCCCTTCAACACCCCCAGGGATGGGGCAGCCACAGCTTCCCTGGGCAACCTGGGCCAGGGGCTCCCCACCCTCACAGCCCAGAATTTCTCCCTCCCATCTCAGCTCCAGCTCCCTCTGCCAGCTGGAAACCCTTCCCCCTGCTCCCATCCCTCCCTGCCCTTGTCCCAAGCCCCTCCCCAGCTTTCCTGGAGCCCCTTCAGGCCCTGGAAGGTGCTCTCAGGTCTCCCTGGAGCCTTCTCTTCTCCAGGCTGAACACCCCAACTCTCCCAGCCTGTTTCTGGAGCAGAGCTGCTCCAGCCCTCCCACCATTTCCATGGCCTCCTCTGGACTGGGCTGGGAGCAGGGGCATCCCTCCCCTTGCTGGGCTGTCTCCTCTATCCCACAGGTTCCTGCTAGGTGCAAAGCACATGATGGGGCTAGTGGCACCTCACCACTGGCTCTGCCCACCCTGGTTCTGGGACTGTGACACCCTGCTGGGCTGTGCAAGCTGCTCCAGGCCCTGCAGACCTTTCATGAGAGAGAGATCATAAAATAATGGAATCCCAGACTGGTTTGGGTGGGAGGGACCTTAAAGCCCACCCAGTGCCCCCCCTGCATGGGCAGGGACACCTCCCAGCAGCCCAGGCTGCTCCAAGCCCCATCCAACCTGCCCTTCAACACCCCCAGGGATGGGGCAGCCACAGCTTCTCTGGGCAACCTGGGCCAGCTCCTGATGCCAGCTCAGATGTGCTGGGATCAGCCTGGCCCTGCCACAGGCACAGGGGTGGCTGCAGTATCCAAGGGACTCCTGGCAGATCCCTGCACATCCCAGACCCCAGCACCAGAGCGCAGAGGGGATTTGGGCACTGCCCCCCATAACACAGCTGGAACCCCAGTTCCCAGCAGGGCTGGGTGGGGGGGAGGCAGGGCAGGACCACTTGAGGTTGAGGTGTGGAGGAGGCAGCGGGCGTGGGGCAGGGCTGGGACTCCACTCCTGCTGGTGGAAGACGTCAGCCCCATGGAAACTTTTAGTAACCGGCTGTGCCGGGAGATGCTGGCACAGGTTCTGGGCTGGCACCCGCCGCCCCCCCCAGGGCCACCGTCTCTCCCGACGCTGCAGATCTCCCTGGCAGCAGCAATCCCGGTGCTACTGCTTTGGCAGCGTCAGGGAAGGCGCTGGTTGAGCCCTGGCTCTGGAACCGTCACTCGCCCGGCCCCTTGGCACCCCCGGGGCTGAGTCACCGCCGGCTCCCGGGCTCTTCCGCCCCGAGCACGGGTGAGCAGGAGAGGTGCCCCTGTCCCGTGGGGACACCCCCAGCTCTGCTCCCCCGGGAGCACCCATATAGGGAGGGAGAGACTGCAGGGGGCCCAGGGGGAAACTGGGAGGGACTGGGACAGGGTTTACTGGTGCAGCGGGGACGTGGTTTCAGGGTGGTGATTATGGAATCAGACAGTCCCAGACGTGTTTGTGTTGGAGGGACCTTAAAGATCATCCAGTCCCACCCTGGGCCATGAACAGGGACACCTCCCACCATTCCAGGTGCTCCAAGCCCCATCCAACCTGCCCTTCAACACCCCCAGGGATGGGGCAGCCACAGCTTCCCTGGGCAACCTGGGCCAGGGGCTCCCCACCCTCACAGCCCAGAATTTCTCCCTCCCATCTCAGCTCCAGCTCCCTCTGCCAGCTGGAAACCCTTCCCCCTGCTCCCATCCCTCCCTGCCCTTGTCCCAAGCCCCTCCCCAGCTTTCCTGGAGCCCCTTCAGGCCCTGGAAGGTGCTCTCAGGTCTCCCTGGAGCCTTCTCTTCTCCAGGCTGAACACCCCAACTCTCCCAGCCTGTCTCCAGAGCAGAGCTGCTCCAGCCCTCCCAGCATCTTCTCCCCCAGAGTTGTCTGCTGGGGATGGGTAGTGTTGGTCTGTAGGGTGGGGGTCTGGCAGGCCCAGGGCAGGCTGCAGGGTGGTCTCTGTGGGGACAAACTGAAGCTGGGGAGGATCAGTAGTGGAGTGGGCTGGGGCAGTGACAGATGTGACAGGGACAGGCTGGATAGCTGCTTTGGGGTGGTCCTGCTCTGCACGGGGCTGGGGACAGCCCAGCACTTGGTCCCAGCAGTGCCACGGCCCAAGGGACATGACACCCAGTCCCACCAGTGGCTGGTAGCAGATGGGCTGGTGGCAGATGGGTTCCTGCCTGCTGATGGGGGACAATCCCACCCCACCGTCTCCCCTCCTCACCAGGAATGGTGCTGCTGGTCTCTGCCTCTGCACCCCTTGGGACCCCCTGTGCCTCTCAGAGCCCTGGGCCAGCACCAGCTTCCCCCTGGAGCCGCTGTCCCCACACGGTTATTGTGCCCTGTCCCCACTGCTGAGACACGCTGGGCTCTTCCCTGGGCTCTGTCCTGCCCACGCTGTCACTGTCCCGTGTCCCCATCCCTGGGACATCCCAAGCCCCACAGCAGCGCTGGCTTTTCCCCAGGCTCCGTCCTCCCTGGGCAGTTGTCACCTCCCGTCCCGCTCCCGGGACACTCCGGGCTCGGGGACCAGCCCCCTCCCGCGGTGCT